CAGCAGGCGGGAAAGAAGCAGCAGGCTGGGAGGAGGCAGCAGGCTGGGAGGAAGCAGCAGGCGGGAAAGAGGCAGCAGGCTGGGAGGAGGCAGCAGGCTGGGAGGAAGCAGCAGGCGGAAAGAGGCAGCAGGCTGGGAGGAAGCAGCAGGCGGGAAAGAAGCAGCAGGCTGGGAGGAGGCAGCAGGCTGGGAGGAAGCAGCAGGCGGAAAGAGGCAGCAGGTTGGGAGGAGGCAACAGGCTGGGAGGAGGCAGCAGGCTGGGAGGAAGCAACAGGCTGGGAGGAAGCAGCAGGCTGGAGGAGGCAGCAGGCTGGGAGGAGGCAGCAGGCTGGGAGGAAGCAGCAGGCTGGGAGGAAGCAGCAGGCTGGGAGGAGGCAGCAGGTTGGGAGGAGGCAGCAGGCTGGGAGGAAGCAGCAGGCTGGGAGGAGGCAGCAGGCTGGGAGGAGGCAGCAGGCTGGGAGGAGGCAGCAGGCTGGGAGGAGGCAGCAGGCTGGGAGGAAGCAGCAGGCTGGAGGAGGCAGCAGGCTGGGAGGAGGCAGCAGGCTGGGAGGAAGCAGCAGGCTGGGAGGAGGCAGCAGGCTGGGAGGAGGCAGCAGGCTGGGAGGAAGCAGCAGGCTGGGAGGAGGCAGCAGGCTGGGAGGAAGCAGCAGGCTGGGAGGAGGCAGCAGGTTGGGAGGAGGCAGCAGGCTGGGAGGAGGCAGCAGGCTGGGAGGAAGCAGCAGGCTGGGAGGAAGCAGCAGGCGGGAAAGAGGCAGCAGGTTGGGAGGAGGCAGCAGGCTGGGAGGAGGCAGCAGGCTGGGAGGAAGCAGCAGGCTGGGAAGAGGCAGCAGGCTGGGAGGAGGCAGCAGGTTGGGAGGAGGCAGCAGGCTGGGAGGAGGCAGCAGGCTGGGAAGAGGCAGCAGGCTGGGAGGAAGCAGCAGGCTGGGAGGAAGCAGCAGGCGGGAAAGAGGCAGCAGGTTGGGAGGAGGCAGCAGGCTGGGAGGAGGCAGCAGGCTGGGAGGAAGCAGCAGGCTGGGAAGAGGCAGCAGGCTGGGAGGAAGCAGCAGGCGGGAAAGAGGCAGCAGGTTGGGAGGAGGCAGCAGGTTGGGAAGAGGCAGCAGGTTGGGAGGAGGCAGCAGGCTGGGAGGAAGCAGCAGGCGGGAAAGAGGCAGCAGGTTGGGAGGAGGCAGCAGGCTGGGAGGAGGCAGCAGGCTGGGAAGAGGCAGCAGGCTGGGAGGAAGCAGCAGGCGGGAAAGAGGCAGCAGGTTGGGAGGAGGCAGCAGGCTGGGAGGAGGCAGCAGGCTGGGAAGAGGCAGCAGGCTGGGAGGAAGCAGCAGGCTGGGAGGAAGCAGCAGGCGGGAAAGAGGCAGCAGGCTGGGAGGAAGCAGCAGGAGGGAAAGAAGCAGCAGGCTGGGAGGAGGCAGCAGGCTGGGAGGAGGCAGCAGGCTGGGAGGAAGCAGCAGGTTGGGAGGAAGCAGCAGGCGGGAAAGAGGCAGCAGGCTGGGAGGAAGCAGCAGGCGGGAAAGAAGCAGCAGGCTGGGAGGAGGCAGCAGGCTGGGAGGAGGCAGCAGGCGGGAAAGAGGCAGCAGGCTGGGAGGAGGCAGCAGGCTGGGAGGAAGCAGCAGGCGGGAAAGAGGCAGCAGGCTGGGAGGAGGCAGCAGGCTGGGAGGAAGCAGCAGGCGGGAAAGAGGCAGCAGGCTGGGAGGAAGCAGCAGGCGGGAAAGAAGCAGCAGGCTGGGAGGAGGCAGCAGGCTGGGAGGAAGCAGCAGGCGGGAAAGAGGCAGCAGGTTGGGAGGAGGCAACAGGCTGGGAGGAGGCAGCAGGCTGGGAGGAGGCAGCAGGCTGGGAGGAAGCAACAGGCTGGGAGGAAGCAGCAGGCTGGGAGGAGGCAGCAGGCTGGGAGGAGGCAGCAGGCTGGGAGGAAGCAGCAGGCTAGGAGGAGGCAGCAGGCTGGGAGGAGGCAGCAGGCTGGGAGGAGGCAGCAGGCTGGGAGGAGGCAGCAGGCTGGGAGGAGGCAGCAGGCTGGGAGGAAGCAGCAGGCTGGGAGGAGGCAGCAGGTTGGGAGGAGGCAGCAGGCTGGGAGGAAGCAGCAGGCTGGGAGGAGGCAGCAGGTTGGGAGGAGGCAGCAGGCTGGGAGGAGGCAGCAGGCTGGGAGGAGGCAGCAGGCTGGGAGGAAGCAGCAGGCTGGGAGGAAGCAGCAGGCGGGAAAGAGGCAGCAGGTTGGGAGGAGGCAGCAGGCTGGGAGGAGGCAGCAGGCTGGGAAGAGGCAGCAGGCTGGGAGGAAGCAGCAGGCTGGGAGGAAGCAGCAGGCGGGAAAGAGGCAGCAGGCTGGGAGGAAGCAGCAGAAGGGAAAGAAGCAGCAGGCTGGGAGGAGGCAGCAGGCTGGGAGGAGGCAGCAGGCGGGAAAGAGGCAGCAGGCTGGGAGGAGGCAGCAGGCTGGGAGGAGGCAGCAGGCTGGGAGGAAGCAGCAGGCTGGGAAGAGGCAGCAGGCTGGGAGGAAGCAGCAGGCGGGAAAGAGGCAGCAGGTTGGGAGGAGGCAGCAGGCTGGGAAGAGGCAGCAGGTTGGGAGGAGGCAGCAGGCTGGGAGGAAGCAGCAGGCGGGAAAGAGGCAGCAGGTTGGGAGGAGGCAGCAGGCTGGGAGGAGGCAGAAGGTTGGGAGGAGGCAGCAGGCTGGGAGGAGGCAGCAGGCTGGGAAGAGGCAGCAGGCTGGGAGGAAGCAGCAGGCTGGGAGGAAGCAGCAGGCGGGAAAGAGGCAGCAGGTTGGGAGGAGGCAGCAGGCTGGGAAGAGGCAGCAGGTTGGGAGGAGGAAGCAGGCTGGGAGGAAGCAGCAGGCTGGGAGGAAGCAGCAGGCTGGGAAGAGGCAGCAGGCTGGGAAGAGGCAGCAGGTTGGGAGGAGGCAGCAGGCTGGGAGGAAGCAGCAGGCGGGAAAGAGGCAGCAGGCTGGGAGGAGGCAGCAGGCTGGGAGGAGGCAGAAGGTTGGGAGGAGGCAGCAGGCTGGGAGGAGGCAGCAGGCTGGGAAGAGGCAGCAGGCTGGGAGGAAGCAGCAGGCTGGGAGGAAGCAGCAGGCGGGAAAGAGGCAGCAGGTTGGGAGGAGGCAGCAGGCTGGGAAGAGGCAGCAGGTTGGGAGGAGGAAGCAGGCTGGGAGGAAGCAGCAGGCTGGGAGGAAGCAGCAGGCTGGGAAGAGGCAGCAGGCTGGGAGGAAGCAGCAGGCTGGGAGGAAGCAGCAGGCTGGGAGGAAGCAGCAGGCTGGGAGGAAGCAGCAGGCGGGAAAGAGGCAGCAGGTTGGGAGGAGGCAGCAGGCTGGGAAGAGGCAGCAGGCTGGGAGGAAGCAGCAGGCGGGAAAGAGGCAGCAGGTTGGGAGGAGGCAGCAGGCTGGGAGGAGGCAGCAGGCTGGGAGAGGCAGCAGGCTGGGAGGAAGCAGCAGGCTGGGAGGAAGCAGCAGGCGGGAAAGAGGCAGCAGGCTGGGAGGAGGCAGCAGGCTGGGAGGAGGCAGCAGGCTGGGAGGAAGCAGCAGGTTGGGAGGAAGCAGAAGGCGGGAAAGAGGCAGCAGGCTGGGAGGAAGCAGCAGACGGGAAAGAGGCAGCAGGCTGGGAGGAGGCAGCAGGCTGGGAGGAAGCAGCAGACGGGAAAGAAGCAGCAGGCTGGGAGGAGGCAGCAGGCTGGGAGGAGGCAGCAGGCGGGAAAGAGGCAGCAGGCTGGGAGGAGGCAGCAGGCTGGGAGGAAGCAGCAGGCTGGGAGGAAGCAGCAGGCGGGAAAGAGGCAGCAGGCTGGGAGGAAGCAGCAGGCGGGAAAGAAGCAGCAGGCTGGGAGGAGGCAGCAGGCTGGGAGGAGGCAGCAGGCGGGAAAGAGGCAGCAGGCTGGGAGGAGGCAGCAGGCTGGGAGGAAGCAGCAGGCGGGAAAGAGGCAGCAGGCTGGGAGGAGGCAGCAGGCTGGGAGGAAGCAGCAGGCGGGAAAGAGGCAGCAGGCTGGGAGGAAGCAGCAGGCTGGGAGGAAGCAGCAGGCGGGAAAGAAGCAGCAGGCTGGGAGGAGGCAGCAGGCTGGGAGGAAGCAGCAGGCGGGAAAGAGGCAGCAGGCTGGGAGGAGGCAGCAGGCTGGGAGGAAGCAGCAGGTTGGGAGGAAGCAGAAGGCTGGGAGGAAGCAGCAGGCGGGAAAGAGGCAGCAGGCTGGGAGGAAGCAGCAGGCGGGAAAGAAGCAGCAGGCTGGGAGGAGGCAGCAGGCTGGGAGGAGGCAGCAGGCGGGAAAGAGGCAGCAGGCTGGGAGGAGGCAGCAGGCTGGGAGGAAGCAGCAGGCGGGAAAGAGGCAGCAGGCTGGGAGGAGGCAGCAGGCTGGGAGGAAGCAGCAGGCGGGAAAGAGGCAGCAGGCTGGGAGGAAGCAGCAGGCTGGGAGGAAGCAGCAGGCGGGAAAGAAGCAGCAGGCTGGGAGGAGGCAGCAGGCTGGGAGGAAGCAGCAGGTTGGGAGGAAGCAGAAGGCTGGGAGGAAGCAGCAGGCGGGAAAGAGGCAGCAGGCTGGGAGGAAGCAGCAGACGGGAAAGAGGCAGCAGGCTGGGAGGAGGCAGCAGGCTGGGAAGAGGCAGCAGGCTGGGAGGAAGCAGCAGGCTGGGAGGAAGCAGCAGGCGGGAAAGAGGCAGCAGGCTGGGAGGAAGCAGCAGGCGAGAAAGAAGCAGCAGGCTGGGAGGAGGCAGCAGGCTGGGAGGAGGCAGCAGGCGGGAAAGAGGCAGCAGGCTGGGAGGAAGCAGCAGGCGGGAAAGAAGCAGCAGGCTGGGAGGAGGCAGCAGGCTGGGAGGAGGCAGCAGGCTGGGAGGAGGCAGCAGGCTGGGAGGAAGCAGCAGGCGGGAAAGAAGCAGCAGGCGGGAAAGAAGCAGCAGGCTGGGAGGAAGCAGCAGGCTGGGAGGAAGCAGCAGGCGGGAAAGAGGCAGCAGGCTGGAAGGAGGCAGCAGGCTGGGAGGAAGCAGCAGGTTGGGAGGAAGCAGCAGGCTGGGAGGAAGCAGCAGGCGGGAAAGAGGCAGCAGGCTGGGAGGAAGCAGCAGGTTGGGAGGAGGCAGCAGGCTGGGAGGAAGCAGCAGGTTGGGAGGAGGCAGCAGGCTGGGAGGAGGCAGCAGGCTGGGAGGAGGAGAAGCTCAGGTCATCGAGCCATGGCACAGTATCTTCCCCAAAGCCCTCGTCTTCTTCTTCTTCTTCCTCGCCCTCATCTATCTTCTCCAGCATGTCCTCTGTCTCCTCTGAGTTGGGGTTCACCGCCATGGGCTGTCCAGTCTGACTCAGCAGGTAGTCAACACCAAGCAGCTCTCCTATGGAAAATAACAGAAACACGCACACAGACACATTATTAGTTGAAATTCAAAACATTCTATATCCTTATGTAATTGTTTTATTTTAACGTCAAACATTAATACATTAAAAACCCACAAACCAAAACAAGACACTGGACCACATCCCCGGCGTAGGTGAGGAGAGATGAGGGCTTGCTGGTCACCACTGCAGTCCCCCGATCCTGGTTCCACCTGTTGAGGCCTTCCAGCAGGTACAACTGGAAGTTCAGTGCGTTTGCACTGGTTCCTGGGAAAACAACAAAATATGGTTTTGCTTTTCAATCTTTAAATGTGTTGAAAAAAACCTTACAAATTATTTAAAATCCCACAAGAGAGACACCAACCTGGAATGAACCTGTTGAGGTGGCAGTGAAACGACTCCAGGGATGTGGACCCTCTGGCACAGCGGTACCTAGTCAGGACAACGCCGCCTTTGGTGGTGGTGGTACCTGTCACTGTGTACAGCTGCACACCTGGCACGTCCTGGATGCACTTGACGTGCCGTTTCTGCACCCGCCAGATGTGCTCCATGCGCACCTGTTCTAGCAGCGGCACCCCCATGAGGTCTCTCCCTTTTGGCCCCTCCAGTGTTTGCAGCAGCTGCTCGATGAGGCTGATGGTGCCCTCCTCCCCACGCGTCCTCCTTCTGCAGTACTGGCTCAGCTCCTTCTTAGTGATTCTCCTGTCCACCAGGAGATCAGTAAGCGCTGGCACACCCTCCTGTCTGAGCTGCTCTCTCTTAGCCTGCCGCAACAGGCTGAGGTCCCCTGCATCCCACTCAAAGATACATGCAGACAGGCAGCCCATGAAGGTGGTGTAGAGAGGATGAGCATCGGTGGTGCAACCGACAGCCAGCCTCCTCATGAAATGCCAGATGTCCAGTCTTATGTGGATGTCTGGCCACTGTGCAAACCTGGTCTGCAGCTTGCTCTCCCCCTCGCTCACACAGCAGCCACAGTCCACATACAGCAGCACAGGCGCGGTGACACATGCCTGGCGGTACCGCTCCATCACTCCAGACACCATCCTGTCCAGTCCTGGCCCCTCCTGCACTGTCAGGACACTGGTCAGGACCTGGCCAACTTCGTTGCTGATTGAGGTCAGCCAGAGAGCTGTCCCTCTGCCGTGGCCAGCCAGCTTCTTTGTGATCTGGAGGGTGATGTTTTAATTACATATGGTTTAGACATTATCTATAGCAGTTAAGACACAGCACAAACTTATGTAATGTTACCACTGACAGAAATATATTACAGTTAGATTATTTCTTACCTTTTTGGTTGAATCCATCTTTAAGATGGAACCAAACGTGGAGGTGATGCTGGCCTTAATGTGGTCCAGACGGGAGAGGATGTCCCTGCTGTAGACGGTCAGCAGCCAGCGACTGATGGGGACGTGGATGGGCTCCGGGGGCTCCTGGCAGATCACTGGGAAGAGGCTGGGCTGATCCATAAAGTTAGCACACTCCCCCACATAGTGTGCCAACCGGTTCAGCTGCTTCGCCAGTCGTGCTGGACTGTTGCCGAGAGTCTGGTCCCGAAGCAGCCGAATGATACGTATGTCACAAGCCTACCTGAAAAGTATATTTAATTTAATCCTGGGTGTGTATACACGTCATATAACAATACAGTGATTAGTTACTTGTTTATTGGAGGATAATTTAAGTGGATTAAGTCTTTTCAAAACTGTTTTACTCACTTGCGGGTCAGAATCATTTCAAACAGCTTCTGGTGGGGCAGGTCCAGCTGGTCCCGGACAGTCTGACTGGTCGACAGATAGTTCAGGGAACACACGGTGCACCTGAGTGTCTCTGTCACCATCAGGTAATACCCGTCGATGTCTAGGACTTTTCGAGCCCTCTTGTGGACACCATACCCCGTCAGCTGCTTCCCACAAGCCGGGCAGGACACCTTCACCTTCCACAGGTGGTATGGCATCCACACCATCAGCCGATGGGGGAAGAAGCTGTCGGGTGCCGGGGTTTGGTGGTAAATGAGGGCTGGGACAGGGGGCTCATACCACAGCTTTACATCTGACCGCAGTTTACCGGAGGGAAAGAGGGTGCTGGCAATCCACCTGTGGTCCTGCACAGGGATGGTCTTGCTCAGTTCCCCCGGCAACCAGATTGAAGCTGCAACCGCCGCAGCTGCTGAAGGAACTCCTCCAGACTCGTCCTGTTTAAAAGACAATAACAAATAAGAGTAAGTTTATTGCATAAATAAAGGCTATACTGAAGATGATTTACAACAGAGCCAGACCAACGAATAGATGCTGTACTCACAGGGGCTACTGCAAGGCTGCTGCTTACAGAAGGGCTTGGGGTCCTCACAGAGGATGGAGAAGGAAGAGGAGAAGGAGGAAGAGGAGAAGAGCTCGGTGTCCTCACAGAGGATGGTGCAGGGGTCGGTGTCCTCACAGAGGATGGTGCAGGGCTCGGGGTCCTCAAAGGGGATGGAGAAGGAAGAGGAGAAGAGCTCGGGGTCCTCACAGAGGATGGAGAAGGAGGAGAAGGGCTGGGGGTCCTCCTAGCCACTAAATTGGGCTTTAGTGAGTCAGACTTTGACCCACCAAAACGTGATTTAGTGAACTGAAAGGAGAAAAAGATATAATTTAATGATGCAACACAAACACAATGGTTCATACAAAAGATTAATTGATTAGAAAGAACTCACCATTGACAAACTCAGCGGGGGGCGCAGGAAAGACCTCGGGGTGGCGGCAGACGCTGCAGCACTTGCTGAAGTCGCACCAGGGTCCGAGTCTGAGGCCACAGACTGTGGGGCTTCAGCAGGAGTGGCAGGCTGCTAAAAGAACAGAATTACGACATGTGATGTAACTGCAACAGCGTTATAACACAGATGCGATGCAAGATGAAAATTTATGTGATGTCATTTTGAAAGAGCTCACCTTAACGGTGTGAAATCCACAGTTACAGGCCTTGGACCCTCCAAAGAGGGTGCTCTGTCCATGGGCCTGCATGGGGCATTTCTCAATCTGGAACAATCAGAATTGTAATTTACAGTCCGTCTGATTGATACTATCTGCACCATGAAATCGAACATTTTTCATCAAGTTAACTGCATGTTAATGACCGTAACAAATAATGGGTAGAAATTTTGCAATACTTTACCTTCTGGTAGAGGTCATACCACTTCCGTTGCCTTGGGGCTGGTTTATTACCTCCTGAAGGCCAACGGCCAGTGGTGGCAAATGCCCTCAGCCTCGCCATCCACTCGCCATCTCCCATGGCCTTGTGGCTCTTAGGTTTGATGCTCATCTAATAATATGAACGTAATATATTTGCATTCGGATACAGTAATGACATGGATATATCTACAACCATTAACAGCTGTTATCTCCCGTCTTCAATGCTGATGATGATGGGCTAATAATAATGTCATTGGCTCAAATGTCATTGCTAGGTAGCTATTTCACCAGTTAATATTTACAGTAAAACGACAGGTACTGTAAGCACACCCACAATAGCTCTTGTCAACAAGTACAACACTGAATGTGAACATGCTTTGAATAATTCACTGTGACACTGCGGCACATTCATACTTGCTCATGTAACTAATATAGAAACTATTTCTATTAATAGAAACACAACAGTATGACGTTGGCGATTGCTAGCTATGCCGACTGACGTTGCCTATAATAACGTAACTGAGACAAACAATGAGATGCAATGCATATAATGGGTGTGGCTAATTAAGAAGGGGGAATAAAGCATACATGGCTGTTTAACGTTACACTTATATTAATTTTTATACCGTTATTACATTTAAGTTAGTGATTTGCGTTAGCAGTTAACGTTAGCTAACGTCGTACCGTAATTATAACGTAATGTGACACTCGACAACAAAAGATGGAAATATAACCAAGCATGTACAGTATGTCTATAAAATAAAGACATTTATTACTTACTTCTGACAGAGTTGTTAGAAGCCGTTTCGCCGGCGACATCCAATGTCAGTCACAGCGCAGCGATAGGTGACGTCCAATGTCATCCCACGCAATGATTGGGATGTTCTCCCCGTGGTGCGGGCCCTGCGGCCGCTGAGGCAGCCCGGCGGCTTCACTCATGGGGTTCACAGCGTGATCTGTCGGAAGATTTCGGGACGGCTGAGGCTTTTTCCCGACCTTCATCCGCTGGCTCCGACGCTTCCTTTCCTCGACACTGCAGCAATCCGACTCCGAGGAGGCGGACTTGCTCAGCGTAGTGGACGATGACTTCCTGGTGTCGGGGTGGCGTCATCAGGCGGCACCATTACGCACCATTACGCTCGGGGAAGGCGTACATGGCAGCGGGCCAGGCCGGTGTGAGCTTGCACACCATGGCGGTTCTTCAAGCCTACCAAGCCGACCTGCTACAGGAGATGGTTCAGAGGGGGGGTCCCTCTGAGGAAGATCTGGCAGAGCTTCGCAGAACCACGGAGCGTTAAGACGCAGGGCGAAGCGTTCCGCCAGTACCTCCCTCGCCGTTCTGGACCCAAGGCAGCTTAGGCTGCCAGGCGTAGGTCCCTTCCCTCTATGAACTCCTACCGAGAGGAGAGGAAGCAGAGTGTCGCTTCTCGGGGGCCCCCCTGAGGAGCTGGATCAGCGAGGCGGCGCTCTCAACCTCAGCCTTCTAATAGACGCGATCTGAGGACCGTCATCCAGTCCCGACGGAGCTCAGGGAAGATCGGCGTAGTCTGGGGATGGGGAGTCTTTCTCCCCTCCCGCACCAGGAGCGGGTGCTCCCCTGCCATTCTGGGGCTTCAGGGTTCCACCAGAAGATCACACGAGACACCGACCACCAGCCCCGTGGGGCTGGTTCCATTGGCAGACTTTGCAGAGGCTTGGCAGAGCCTGACGAACATTTCTCCGTGGGTCCTGCGCACTGCCATAGATGGGTTTCGACTACAGTTCAAAACCCGCCCTCCAAAATTCAACGGGGTGGTTTGGACTGTGGTCCGCCCGGAGCAAGGTTGGGACAGGAAGTTCTTACTCTGCTGAGGAAAGGGGCCGTGAAACGTGTCTCCCCCCCAGACAGAGACACCGGTTCTACAGCCGGTACTTCATAGTCCCCAAGAAGGACGGAGGGCTGCGCCCTATTTTGGATCTGCGGGTTCTAACCGGTCTCTGAGGGTGTGGCTTACCAGTATCGGGTTCTTCCATTCGGCCTGGCACTTTCCCCTCGCACATTCACCAAATGTATGAATGCAGCACTGGCCCAGCTGAGGCTCCAGGGACGACTGGCTCATCCTAGCCCAGTCTCGAGAGTTGGCGGTTCAGCATCGAGATGTCGTTCTGGCTCATCTGCTGCGTTTAGGGCTGAGGCTCAACGCAAAGAAGAGTGTGCTGGCACCCACCCAATGGACTACGTTCCTAGGGGTAGTATGGGATTCGACAACGATGCGGGCACAATTCTCTCCAGCACGTGTCGACACCATATTGGCTGCCGTGAAAGGGGTGAAGTTAGGCCACGCCATCACTATAAAACACTTTCAACGAGTGTTGGGTCTCCTGGCGGCTGGGTCCAGCGTAATACCATCTGGACTGCTGCACGTGAGACCCCTGCAGTGGTGGCTAAGGACCAAGGGTTTTTCCCCGAGGGGAAATCCTTTCCATCTGATTTGGGTTACGCGCAAGTGTCTTAGTTCCCTATCAGTTTGGTAGGAAACTTGGTTCCTGTCCCAGGGGCCCATGCTGGGAGGGTATGGTCGCCGGCTGGTCATTTCGACAGACGCCTCCTTCACGGGCTGGGGCGCGGTCATGGGCGGCCGCTTTGCAAGGGGATCCTGGCAGGTGCATCAGTCCGAGTGACATATCAACTGTCTCGAGATGTTGGCGGTGTTCCAGGCTCTAAGGAGTTTCCTGCCCGATCTCCAAGGCCACCACGTCCTGGTTCGTTCCGACAACACAGTGGTGGTGGCCGAATCACCAGGGCGGTCTGCGCTCGCGCCCTCTGTACATGGCCATGGTACATTCGTGGCAGAGGCTACGTCTGTACGCTTTTCCCCCAGTCGCTCTGCTCCCGGGGGTTCTGGAGCGGGTCCGCCAGGACAATGTCGGCCTACTGCCCCTGAGGGGGCACAGTACCTAGAGGCAGGTCTAACAGCCGGAGCAGTCGAGACCCTCCTCAGCTCCAGGGCCCTGTCCACACGGATCCTCCGTGGTGCCCGGAGGATGAGACCTGCGACTCGGTCCAAGGTTCCCACTCGGGATCTGGCGGTGGTTCTTGGGGCGTTGGCTGTGGCCCCTTCGAACCCCTGGAGTCAGCTGATGCTAAGCACTTGACCCTCAAGATGGCCTTTCTCCTTGCTATCACCTCTCTGAGGAGGGTGGGGGATCTCCAAGCGCTTTTGGCAAAGCCTGGAGTTTGCCCCTTGGAATATTAGGGCTATCCTGCACCCTCGTCCAGGATACATCCCTAAAGTGCCTTCTTGTGCAGCAGGGTCCACAGTGCTGCAGGCATTTCATCCTCCACCTCATGTGACGGCGGAGGACGGGAGACTTCATCTGCTCTGCCCTGTCAGAGCACTGAGTATTTACACTCTGAGGTCCTCCCATTGGAGAGAGGCTGACCAGCTGCTAATGTATTTTGGGTCCCCCAGGGCTGGGCTCCCTGCACCCAAACATACTTTTAGCAACTGGATTGTTCAGACTATTTCCCTGGCCTATCAGGTGCGCGGTTTGCCTTCACCTGTGGCTGTGAGGGCTCATTCTACCAGAGGTATGGCGGCCTCTCGAGCCCTCCTTTCCGGGGGCCTCTTTGCAGGATGTTTGTGTAGCGGCCGGCTGGGCCACTCCGCACACATTCATTCGGTTTACAGTCTTGACCTTCCTTCGGCACCTGGCACTCGTGTGCTCTCCTCTTAGTCGTGCTACTTTATTGCACACTGGGGCAGGCGGAGAAGGGGAACGAGACACTGCTAATTTTGAGCTTCAAAATGGCTCTTCAGAAACCAATGGGTGACGTCACGGATGCTACGTCCATTTGTATATACAGTCTATGTATAAAACACATCCTGCAAGTTTTGTAACAACTGAACAACCATTTTCTGATCCATAGCTTGATTTGTATCATTCCACGTCCAGTTACAATGCATTTATAGCGCCCCCTAGCGGTGGATTTGAATGAGACTTTCAGGGTATGTCTATCCTGCAAGTTTTGTGTTGATTGGACAAACAATTTACACATTTATTGGTAAATATCTTGAAAACGAAAGGAGCCATCAACAAGCTTTATTCAACTTTATGTAAAGTCCAATGACGATACAGAGAAAATTTGGTGGCAATTGGAGCTACAGTGTAGGAGGAGATGTAAAAAATGTGTTTGCATTATAGCAAGTGGCCATAAAAATCCTGTTTTAATGTCTTATGTATCTGTATGTGTTGGGCAATTTTTCTTCAAATACGCTAGTTGAAAACATAATACTTTATATTTCACTGGCAAATTAAATGTCATAAAATTGCAAAACTAGAAAAGTATTCGACTCAACAGATTTGTTTTGGAAGTGTTTTGTTTTAACACTGAAGTGGTGACAGAAAGAGAAGCTGGAAGGCAGGTGAAGTTCTGCACACCCTTCAAACTCAGTGATTAGCTTCCTCTGGTAGCAGTGCAGCCTTCTCTTTGATAGAAACTTGTTGGTTGTTGGCGCCACAGAAGGGGGCAGAGTGACCTCTGCTGGTTGAGCTTCCACATAGCAAGAAGGCCGATAAATATGTTACAAAACTAAAATATGAATGAAATAATAGAAACTTAAATAAATAGGCTAACTGCTATCCTAAGCTACATGTAACATTAGTTCACTTAATCTGAAGTTAAAGGTCAGCAATAGTCTTACAAATGTTTCTCCTTAACAGGCAGAGTTATTATTTTATCAGTTCAATGGACTCAAGAACATTACCGTTAATGTTACTGTTCAGATAGTCGACTCTTCTGGGCTGTTTCAGGGGATGATTTATTTCACCCTCTCTTTATCTTTCATTATATGCAGGGCACAACGGGCTCCATTCCATACAGTTTCTGTGTCCTTACTGACCGTTCCAAGTTAAAATGAAGATAATGACTTTTTTCAAAGCTGACTTGGCTCAGAAGTGGCGCCTTCCTCGTGCTTCCTCTTACAGACCATGCAGGAATTGATCTTCCAGGATATTGGAAACTTAACTTCTCTTTTCTGCAACAAGCCTCCTTTTGTTCGGGCATTAGGGAAATTATTAATAACTAAAACCAGACTATAAAACCAGAAATGACGTCTCCTCTATTTCTAAAAGTTTAAAATTTAAAGTTTTCAATTAAGTTTCATATCATATCATCATATTTTGAACATTCCAGTTCCTGATAATGAAAATAAAATAAAATTGCAGTCTTTATAAGAAGAGCTGAATAAGCAAGGAAAAGGCAGAAGGGGCATTTTTCAGATTGAGG